GCTGTGCCATGGGCTCCCCCGTGTCACCTATTGTAGCCAACCTTTACATGGAGGAAGTGGAAAGGAAGGCTCTTGGCTCTTTCAAAGGAAGAGTACCCAGCCACTGGTACAGATATGTGGACGACACCTGGGTCAAAATCAAGACACAAGAAGTGGAATCCTTCACTGCGCACATTAACGCGGTGGATAAAAACATCAAGTTCACCAGGGAAGACACAAAGGACAACTGTTTGCCTTTCCTGGACTGCGTCGTGCACATTGAAGAGAACGGCAACCTCAACATCGAAGTTTACCGGAAGCCCACACACACGGACCAGTACCTCCTCTTTGACTCCCATCACCCTCTGGAACACAAGCTTGGAGTAATTAGGACCCTACACCACCGGGCAGAACATGAAAGCCCAGCAGAGGATGTACTTCCTGAGGCAGCTGAAGAAATTCAACCTGCCAACACGGACGATGATGCAATTCTACACTGCAATCATCGAGTCCATCCTCACCTCCTCCATCACCGTGTGGTACGCTGGAGCCACTATCAGGGACAAACAGAGACTGCAGCGTGTTGTGCGCTCTGCTGAGAAGGTGATTGGCTGCAGACTCCCATCTCTGCAGGACCTGTACACCTCCAGGACACTGCGGCGTGCAGCCCGGATCTCAGCTGACCCTTCTCACCCTGGACACAGTCTGTTTGACCTGCTCCCCTCAGGCAGGAGGCTCCGGTCCATTCGCATCAGAACCTCTCACCACAAGAACAGTTTCTTCCCCTCTGCTGTTGGACACATGAACAATAACCACATGATTGTCCCCGCCACTAACATATGACCCTACGCTGTGTAACTGCATCATTTCATGTTTGGCACTGATCACCACCTGCACTCATGTATATATCTTTCTACGTAGCACTCATAATTCTTATTCTCATGTATATATCTCATGTATATCTCATGCACATATCTTTCTTTCTACATAGCACTTTAATTCTTATTGTCTGCACTGAAGCACCGCAGCAATTTCCTAATGTTGTAAACCTCAACACCTGGCAATAAACCCATTCTGATTCTGATTCTGATTCCCTCTAAGCCTGAAGGAAAAAAGAAGGAACACACACATGTAAAGGAAGCACTCAAAACGTGCGGCTATCCTAAATGGGCGTTCTTAAAGTCAGCAAAGAGGCACAGAAAAGAAGTCCAGACACCAGCGAGGGAGGATAAGAAGGACAGACGCAACAACATTGTCATCCCCTATGTAGCCGGTGTATCAGAGAAACTCAGGAGAGTTTTCTCCAAGCATGACATCCCGGTGCATTTCAGACCCAGCAACACGCTCAGACAAAAACTGGTTCACCCGAAAGACAAAACGCCAAAACACAAACTTAACAATGTGGTGTATGCTGTACAGTGCAGCGAGGAATGCTCAGACCTCTACATTGGAGAGACCAAACAGCCACTTCACAAGCGCATGGCACAACACAACACAGAAGAGCCACCTCCACAGGACAAGACTCAGCTGTCCATCTGCATCTTAAGGATAAAGGACACTCTTTCGAGGATGCCAATGTTCACATTTTGGACAGAGAGGACAGATGGTTTGAAAGAGGAGTGAAAGAAGCCATCTATGTCCACTGTGAGCGACCATCTTTGAACAGAGGCGGTGGTTTACGACACCAACTCTCTGCCATCTATAATCCAGTTTTGAGATCCCTTCCCAGACGCCTTAACGCCCACTCACATCCTGGGCCATCTGACCTCAGGAATTCGCATGATAAGGTGGGGCCAGGTTTCACAATGAACACACCCGAAACTCTGGCTGATTGGGACCCACACCCAGTTTCACACCTTGGCTCAGGCGATTAGAGGATCATCAGGGGGTCCTTTTGTCCCTCTGTGGGGGGTCACTCCCACTAGGTTTATATCTGGGACTCTCCGCCATTTGACCTTAGAACTGAAGAAGCTTCTTGGATGAGAGGTGAAACGTCTTCAACAACTTAAAGAAGTCCAGACGCTTTTCTTTGCAAGCTCCTTTGACATTTAAGCCCTCTCTTCCCTTCAGCCCTTGTCGTGTCATTGATGTTATGTTGTCGTTTCCCCCTGCGTTCAGCCAGCCAGCCATTGAGTCTTTCAGTCAGTCGTCCAGCCAGCCATTCAGTCTTTCAGTCAGTCGTCCAGCCAGCCAGCCATTTTCTACCTCTGTTCTGTTCACCCACTCCTTATAATAAACCTTCACCAGTCTTCACCTACCTGCGAGTCCTGCGTTTGGGTTCCTTCTTCCTCGCCTCCACACAACGCCTGACAAACCTGACCATTAGCTGAACTCACAGGTCCTCAGGTGTATGACAGGTCACTGCCTGTCATACACAGCTGCAGCTTACAGAGACATGTGTGTTTAAATGATTATTCATTGTTCTTCATGTGTATAGAAGAGCATCATAAAGGGTAAACATTTCTCTTTTACAGCCAAATGTGTTTGCATCACTTCTCAGGTTTTCTTTAACATGATGGAGGAATAAGTACTGCAGTGTGGTTTCATGCAATCACATGAAATAAAGGACAAAGAGAGTCTACAAAAGTATAAAGATATAGGTTATTATTCACATTCAGGCATCCATATCGAAAACTCTAACATTTCAACTCGAGTGAGTCCACCACTGTGCAATATCACTACAATATGTTACAATATGCATGTTTCTATGTACTGAGTATTTACTGCCATGAATTTTCAAATACTTGATAGGTGTAGGTACCATGAAGTATCTACTGTTTTTGTATTTTAAAATCACAGGCATTACAGCCTCAGAGAGAGCCAACAGTGAGCAGCACTTTCTGAGAGTGGAGAGAAGAAACTTCCTTAAACAGGAAGTGACCTCTGGGAGAACCAGGCTGCATCATTCCCTCACCCAAACAGGCTGTGGTGATTTCATTTGGGGTGCCGCTGCCACGACCAACCACAAAAACGGAAGTGAAGTAAAAGATGTTGGCAGATTATATTCATATTTAAATCTCTGTGGGTCGACCAGAACACCTGCCCAGCCTGAATCCCCACAGTGAAGAACAACGGTGCAAGTCAATGAGTCAAACTCCCAACGTTAGTTTGTTAGACCTGGGCAAGTATGATGACCTTTGCTCTATTTTAAGAAAAAATAGAGTAACACAAGAACACAGACACTCAGTTGAATGGAAATGGTGGTGACTTCCATTTAGAGGACTGAATCTGTCCCACATCCTCCACGTACACAGATTTCATTTATTTATTTATTTTTTTGCTTTCACAGTTGGCCTCGCTGCAAACGTGGAAATAATCATATGATGTTTCTCATTCTGTACATTCACCTTTATTTTAAAGGTGAATGTACAGAATGTTAATAATAAATATATAATAATAATGTTTGTAATCTGAACAGTCTATCATTGTTTTCGCACCTGCTCAGCTTCACTTTTATTACCTGATAGAGCACGGCAGTGACCTCACTCTATACCAAAATCTCACAACTCCAAAATATTAAAGAAAAACTGTTCATTTTATACTTTATAACCACATTACACAAAAAGAAAAACAGAGCTGTTCGCATATTTAACTGATTAGAAAGCAGACTCTACAGCTGAAGTTCAAAGCTTCAAAGTCAGACACATTGTTTCCTGTTAGAACAAACTGGCCACTCTGTGTGCTGAACTAAAATTATAATAATACATGAAAACACTTCACATTTTACACTTCATGATGTTCATAACAGCTCATTCGTAATCAGAGAGAAACTCCGAGAACAACACGAGGCCACGAGGAAGACTCAGACAAATCCAGGAGCTCAGGATTAAAGTTAAAATATGCTGCTTTGTTTTAAGATAAAAGTCTGAATATTATAAAGTGATGCTAAGTTGTGACATATTTAAGAATAAGTTAGCATTTTTACAAGAAGAGTCAAAGCATTTTACTGTTTTGCTGAAGTTCTGACATATTTCAAGAATAAAATTGTAATTTTATATCTGAGTCTTTATATTTTTAGATTAAAATTTGTAGATTAAATAAAGTTTATACAGATTAAAACATTTGACTTTTTGATTAAACCACTGAAGCTGTAACTCAGAGTCATAACACTGTGAATATGGTGTTTTTGTCCGAAAGCTTTTAATCCACAGCTATTGTTCAAGCTGAAAGCTGCAAAAACAGGAACTGCTAACACAGACGTCTTGTGGTTGTACGAGTAACTGCAAGTAGTTTAGAATTTATCACCATTGTATCCATGGAAACAAGCTCATGAACTCATTTTTTGCGTCGTGGACTGCTGAGGTCGACACACTCACGGTTGATCAGATTTGTTGTGCTCATCAAGTCTTTCTCTAAATAATAAAAATTCACCACTTAGTTCAGTTTGATCGAATGAAATGACGACTTTGTTCTGACGTGATTTCATTGTGTTAAAATTGACCTGAAATTGAAGTTATCTCTTCTACTGGCCTCGGGGTTTTGCTTCATCGTTTTCTCAGATCGACCCAGCCTGAAACCCTCGTGAGATTTTATGATCGTATTTGACTGTTAAAAAAACCAACCAAATGAATCTACTTTAGATGACCCATAACCTCCTTCACAGAGGTAGCAACCCTATGTAGCTTCTGTGGACGACATATTTGAAACTCATTTGGAAAAACTCTAAACTTTGGACGATTTCAGAGATGTGAGGTTTACACACACTGGCCGGTCTGGAGCAGTTTCTGGTCCAGCCTGGATGGAGATGTGCTCCATCTTTCTGTGCTATAAATAAGCTGTAATCATCAGGTAACAGAAAAGTCAACTCCCTCAGCTCTAAAGAATCTGAGCAGGGCAGGATGCCAGCTAAATGTTAGAAAGATGAGCTTGTAAGTGATCAGCACTCCTGTCCTAACGCTTCACTGTTGTTACATTTACACAAACACACACTGTACATGTCCATGCCGAGTCCATTTGTTCTCATTCATAAATCAAGGACTTTCATCCAGAGGGGCTGGTGTCACTGGTTGGCCTCCTCTTCCTCAGGTCTGTCTGAGTGGAGGTCTGCTCCTCTTTTCCCAGAATGCAGTCTTGTATCCTCTCAGCTGTTTGTCCTTCTTCCTCTTCACAGGAGCGTTCTCAGCTCTGAGGACAAAGAGAGGACACGTCTCTGAGTGTTCTCAGTCCACAATGTGTCTTCAATAGTGTGTGTGTCACATGTGCTTACTTTGGTTTCTCCTGGACGCTGCAGAACTTTATGCACTCAGCATCCTCTGAATCCGTGCAGCGGCAGCGGCTCAACTCCCTCCTCACTCGCACCGATCCGAACCCGTAAGGCACCAGCTGGCTGGAAGAGTCAGAGTCAGATATTCACTGTCAGATATGATGGAGGCACTGCAAACATGCATTAAACACACTCGCAGTTCTCCTGTCCGTCATTAGATATGTGCAGAATCTGTGCAGCGGAGCATGATCACGCCAGCAGCCACACTGGCTTCAAGTTAAATCACTGCCTGATGGCATTTCTGACATATTTTGGTGTTTTCTGTTCAGAGGGAGGAACTGATGATGTGCCCACAATCTTCCCATAAGACTGAGTAAACAAACTCCTAAAAGTTCTGGTTCCATATACATCTGCACCTTCAAATGTGCAACAGATAGGTCTGACACAGGAGGCAAGTTCTGCTGTCCTGCAGGAAGGACCTGCTTACAGATTTCCTTGTTTAGATTTAAGGGAATTTTTAGAAGAGAGGTTGAACAGGGTTTCATGCACTGGTGCTTGTAATAAATCCCAGTCTGTAGGCAGAGTAGTTAAAGCTAATCAGAGCCTTTGGATGACCGCAGTAATAAACATGCCGTTTACACTGCTCTCCAGGCAGCACGGCAGAAATCCACAGGCGACAATGTTCAGTCAGACTTTCATGGAACTTATCAGCATTTTGATTTTGAGCCGAATCAAATCCAAATAAATGTCACACTGAAGAACACATATAGTATAGACTGGACACTGAAAGCTCCAAGTCTGTATAGTCACATGGATTCTGCTTTGCGTTTTGGATTGCTGGTATGTTTGTAGAGAATATCACAGCCATTATAACAAATCCATCCTGGTATGGCCTCTTGAAGAGATGGCAGTTGTTAAGCTTTAGCATCACAACCAAAGTAAGACTGTGTTTCCAAATCTTACCGATACTTAGCGTCAGTTTGTTTTGATTTGAAGTGTGTAAGAGTATTTTTACTGTTGCAGCTGTTGCAGGTGAAGCTAAACTGAGTTAGAGAGTTTGTCCACACTAGTGACAGGTATCAAGCTCAACAAATTATGATATTCACTTAGTTCACCACTAAACTAACATGATGACTGAGGACGGTGATGATGGTGGCTGACATTTCCAGATGTGTTGGGAGCAGATCATCCTGTGCGGTCGTTGAGCAAGGTCACAGGTGAGAAGAGTAAGAAAGAGGTCATCCGTCGTCTTTGGTGAGCGATCTCAGTCGGTGACTCCAGCTTTCTCAGTGTATTATTTACTCTCTGTTATTTAAGAAAGGTTATTATTGTTATCATTGTCATTTTTGGGCACTTTTCTGATTGCAGCTATATTTATCTGTGAGCATGGTGCTGATATATAAGAGCCATAGTGCTTTCACACTTTGGCTTAAAGGATGCTGCCCTTTAGTTCTGTTTGTTTGCACTGATGTGTCTTCAGATTATTTACTGTTCGTCTCAAACCTTTGCTCTTACTGGCATGTGGCATGTGAGTGTGAACTCTGTGCATACATGACAGTGAGCACACCTCTGTCAGTTTTTTCTTTCAATAAACATGAACATTAGACATAATTGTACAAAATCTCTGGAAGTCGCACCTTTTATATCACTTTTATAATGAACATTATGCTATGACACACTCTCTGTCAATACTGTCGGCATTTCACAGTAGTTTCAAAACTTCTGATGATGCCCTTCCAAGCGGTCGGAGGATAAATCTGCAAGGTAATGTGATAAATGAAGTCGTGGAAGGCAGACATATGAATGTGATGCTGTGGGTGTTCTGACCTTGTGCTAAAAGTAGCTCAATTTTATAGTTTCGTGGATTAAGACCTCACTCTTCCAGGTGAAAGCTGGCTGTGTGGCTCGGCTTAATTTTTTTTGCACTTGTTACCTTACTCAGGCCCTGAAAAAATGACTCTCACTCCCTCTGTGGAACACATGCAGACAGCTGTTGGTACACTGCTCCAGAGTTCAGCTGTTCATAATTATCTATCATTGAAACAAACATCAAGCGTCTGCACCACATTTATGGCCAAAGACACAACAATGCTGCTTTTTTTTAAATACACATTGAAACTGATATATCTCTCCACAACCCTGAAATCCGATCAAATATGTGCGCATGTAACTTCCTTAAAAACTTGTTTCAGCCATTGTTTTTACTGTGCAACTGCTAACTCGTGTACAATAAAGGAATTAAGCAAAAACCACAAACAGTTAAATAAATAAGTCAGAAGTTTTTATACAGATGTACCATTAACTCGTGTGCTAATATTTTAAAGGTGAGCAATTTGATCAAATGTAATAACATATTCAAGTGTCAGTCACTCAGACAGTAGCGGACACGGCGGTTGCCCGGGGCGGCAGCGTGGTGGGGGGCGGCATCACGGGAAAAAAAAGAAAGAAAAATTACTCGTACTCATGCCGCTCCGACGTCATGCCAGCGCATATTGGGAATGGCATAGACACCGATCGGTTTTCTATCGCCCATTTGCTGTGAGTAAGGGCGCCCTCCGTTTGCGAGGTGCGCCTGCTGCTTGTGGCACAGGGAGGAGAGGGCGGGGCGGCGGGGATTCTCTGGCTGGCTGGAGCAGCATCTAATAACCAACCCGCAAAATAAAACAAACAAACAAACAAACAAAAAAACAACAAACACGAAAACACCAGACATTATGATACAGACATATAATTTGCACCGATGGTTTTTCGAAATTCTATATAGTGAGCGCTAGAGCCCTCGGTGCGCCTGCTCGCTGCTGAAATCAAAGTAAACTTTATTGTCACCTCCGCTACATACAGAGAGACGAGACGACGAGGCTCCAGTTACAGCAGTGCAAGTAAACAAACAATGTATATAAGAAGAGTAAGAAAATAATATACACTTAAGACTAGGGGTAAAGGCATAGCCAGAGGAAGTGTTCGGCCAGGGCGCCAAACAGGCTAGGACGGCCACTGCGCTCAGATATGTGTTTGCTTGTGTGGAGTTTTATTCTGTAGCTCAGACAAAGAAGAAGATGACCTATGCTACACTAATAAGGCACACAGGTGAGATCATCACATACAGAGGCTGCAGAGCACAATGGTAATGATTCTCAACACAGCACACTGAGTTTATATCTGAAACTCAATACAACATTATAAAACTAAACCACGTACAAGTGGGCAAGCCCAACCTAGCCCTGCTTTCCTTTTGTCAGATTTTCTAATGCCCACCTGGCCTGGTCTGAAACGACCTGTGATTGGCCAGAATCTCACATCACAGGGTGCTCCCCCTGCTGGTCTAAAATCAGGGCTGGGAGGGGGAGCGAGAGTGTAGTCCCCTCTGAGACTGCTTCATTTACAATTTGCTGAAACACTACTGAGGATTTTGTCTGTCGAGAGATGCCAGAAATATGTCTGCTAGAAAAATGAAGAATGAAGAAACACAATTTCGCTGAAGAAATTTATGTTTGGTGTTTAGATTTGGGCCAGACTTTTTGCGAAACAGTGTATATTTTTAACTTTCTGGATCAAAATAAAATGGCACACGGAGTTAAGAGAGATATATCTCCTTTGTGGAACTAACAACAACCCACAGACGTCGGAAAGATGACAAACTCCCCTTCTAGTTCAGCCAAGAGTATGAATAGCTATCTTAATCTTTAACAGTTCAATCCTTTTTGAGGTTAAGCTATCAGGCAACGTTCACAGACCATCAGCCAGAGCTTCATGTAAGCAACCTGTAGAGATCAGTAACCACTGATAAATAATTCAAACAGATAAACCAGGGAGCATTTGGCTACAGCAGTGGTTCCCAAACTTTTTTTGCTGGGCCCCCCTTCGTTTTACACAAAAAACGTTTGCGCATTAACACATCCTCCAACCACACACACCCATATTTTGCTCCATTGCGGTTTATTTCACACCTCAAACATTTAGTAAACAATTAAGTAAATACAAGTAAACTGGTAAACTGCAATAAATGACAGGTAGTAATAAAATAAACTACTAACTCTTTTACGCTGTCCGCACCTACACGGGTATTTTTGAAAACGCAGCCGTTTCATCCACACGTAAACGGCGTTTCGAATCACCGAAAATGGAGGATTTTTAAAACTCCTTTTTTGCGGATGAGGAATACAGGGTTTGTCTGGCAACGTCAAAGGTATGTGCCTCTTTTCACGTCAGGCTGTGCGCCATGTTATTGTTTACATGAGATGAATTGCAGAATGGCAGATGGAATTCTGTTAATCTGACTGTCTTCAGGTTTTACAAGCAGTTACTGTCCCTCCATTTACAAAGGCAGAAGCTTCTTATTTTACATGTAGTTGTTTTTTTCTTCTTCTGTGTAATAATTTTCAACATTGCTATCAATACATTTTTCAAAAAAAATGCCTCTCTGTGCAAAATGGGTTTAAACAGCTGTGGGATACTGTTTGTCCATGATTTGAACAGGGAACAAATTGTGGCAGGATCAGCCTGATATTATTTTTATCTCACTGTAACTTTACTGTATAAAGAGCTAACGTCTCCAAAATGTCAGGAGTAGTTAGTCATTACAACAAGTGTTTGTGAACTAAAAATCAAGAATGTGGGATCCTGTTTGTCCGTGATTTGAACAGCCCAGCGCTGCTCTCAAGAAGGGAAAACCAATTCTGCAGGGGAGACCTACCTCGGCACTTGTGCAGGTGAAACCAAAGGGCAGATATGCTTCACCATATTTTCTAGTCTTTGGCTTAGAATGAAGTTGGTTTGGAAACATATTCAGCTATGCTTCATCTCCTGCTTTGCGTTTCTGTGGGCGCCCGTGTAGCGTCCAAGCGTTTTGTTTTTTTCCTTTTCATACTGCGCCCCCCCTGCCATGGCTCTGCGCCCTCCCTAGGGGACGGGCCCCGCACTTTGGGAAGGTCTGGGCTACAGCATGCACATTGATGCTCTGCGGTCAGAAGTGAGTCCCTGCTTCAGACCCGCAATCAAAATCCTCGTCTCTGCTGCTAGTTTGCTATTCGTTAGTATTCCCTGGGCATGTTAAACGTTTGGAACATATTTCCCAGCAATCCATCAGTGACTTCCAAAAATGTACTCTCAACCAGAGTTTCATT